GCAAAAAGACCTTTACCCTAACAGGCTCTCCGGTATTCACGAGTGCAATCAGTTTGAAGGCATGTGCATGTGCTTGAAACAAAATTGATGTTCTCCACCGATTGCATATCACAGGTTCGAGCTGAGTGTAGGAAGAAAACAACCCACATTATTCTACTTAAAATGTGTTATTAATTGGGAGCCCATTTAATGTACTGTAGTTATGTCCAAACGCTTCAAACGCTTAAAATGCGATTGCACAATGTGAACATGCGCTTTGTTTAAAGAATACGCTGGACGCACAAGCGTGTCCTAAATTACTGTCCATTGGATTAAGTAATTTGCCGGACGTTTACAACCCAAAGCAAGCAGATCTATTTCGTGAAAACCATGTGTTATGTAAACACCTACTTGATTTTGGCCCACACGTCACCCAACACAAGCATTACACATCCACCTTCAGAAAATGACCTCTTGAAAGTGTTCACATCAATCCATATGTTCATTTTACATTTTCTGCAAGCGGACACAACCTCAAACTAAGAGGTCCCCTCGGGGCTTGAAAACATTAGTTCGTTAATTAGTCGAGGACCTAAACAACATGACCCTGACCAAAAGGGCCCTAGAATACATTCGCTTAAACCAGCTCGGGCGAAACCGCACACGCGCTCACAGTCACAACTCGTCAATGATAAACTGTGAAACATTCATTTTAACATGTCGGGGCACAAGCAGACGCACGGCTTCGCATTGTGTCAAAGCATTTGTGGTGCATACTGCCCCTGGCAATACAAGTCACAGCCGATGGGAACAGCTACCCCAGTCTCCACGGAATCCCATTTGCAAAGATAGTTGTTTGCCATAATGCACAGATTATGAATAAATCCTGCTATCAGAGCACAGATGGTGCGATAAAGGAATTCTAACAGAAGCAATGCGAGAGAAAAAAACACTCTTTTGAAATTTTCCGAGTGGCATTTTTATATCCGTTATATATGTGTTGCATCTACGATGCTGCAGTGTGCATTCAACAGATGTAGTTCGGACAAACGGTCACATTCTGATTTAAATGTGTTCCTCCTGTATTCAAGGATGAATTGAAATGTACAAATTCTAACTCAAACGATACCTTACTTTATGTATTAAAATGGGTTGAAACATGTAATGAGCCAAATATAGCATATAAGCTCGCCTATATTCTACATGGGGTGGAGTGGTGGGTGCAGTGGTTGATTTAGCCAGTTACGTTTAATTCCTAGCCAAGGATAACAACAGCAGTGATACCTGCACAGGCCCCAGTCTTCCTCAACTGGACAAGAGCAACGAAGTATGGTCAAACAAACCCCCAAGATGAATCCAGTGGATTGACAAAGGGCCGTAAATTATATTTTTAATACACAATACAGCTCTCTAAGCACTTCTGAAATCTCTGGTATCCTCACAGCAACAGTAAAGAATTCAATGGTACTCTGGGTAGGTGTTAGGATTTATTGCCAAATAAACCCAACACAATTTGAAAGTAATATTCAAATTTTGATTTAAAGCTTTCGTGACTGCAGGGATTCATATTCTTGGTTCTTTCGGTAAAGTCACGTAGAAGGGAAACAATAAAATAAGAAAAATATTTTAAAAATATATATTGGTTTATATTTTTATTATTTTATTGTTTAAAACAATACATTTTATTGTTTTTATATTTTTCCTATTTGATTGTTTCCCTTCTACTTGACTTTACCGAAAGAACCAAGAATAGTAATATTCAAGTTATAAAATGACCATGGCTTTCCTCAATAGCACTTGATAATGTCAACAGTCTTTTCACATTTGAGCCAGCCTTCACAATGCATCAACCTTAAACCATAATCTTATTTAATTACCATGTACGCTATAGAAAGAGACAAAGATATCATGTTTATTATTACAGCGTCGCGGAAGATGGTTTTGGTGGAGGACTTAATAATGTCAATCACGCACACTGGAGTGGTAGGGCCAATCACAGGCACACTCATTAGTTAGTTTTTCCTCCCGAGGGCTGGCTTCGACACACCATTCCGTGTACTCGTTTTAGGCTGAGTAAACCTAAGGAGGGGATGCATGCCAGACTCAAATACCCATTTGCTGTAGGTATTCGTGGCCAGGAACATGTCCTAGATTCTAGTTTGTAAAGTGCAATTCGCGAATGAACACGACCTCTTTGCCCAAAATAAGCATGTGATCAAATATCATGCAATTAGCCGTGTTTTATCTGAAAGTAATGTGCGTGATTTTTGTTTCAATTTGGGGATGTTTCCAAAAATCTGCGACTTACTCTTGCAAATGAGGTCACAGGAGCTTCAATGTCTACGTGCTAGAAGCCAATAGTCCCCAGAGCAGTGGGAGTGGAATTTGCCTGCAAAAGTCCTATGCAAAATGCCACATCGCAGAAGGTATACTGACCACTCGGCTATCCAGCACACATCTTAGTTAGTCGACCCGCGTGGCACTTGGGTCTGCCCCGTGACCTCCTGCCAGCGGGCGTTCGACACTTCACGTGGCCTCAAGGTGCACATGGCCTGGCACAAGCGTCGTGGTGACGTCACCGCCACTTAGTGGCGAATGGCGGTTGTTGTTGTTGTTGTTTACTGATATGTGAACGCGCGCTATGTCCTTGTGCTGACTGTTCATGCAGAGTAGTAATTTATTTAAATATGTGTGAGGTCTGAAATTATAAATTTTGGATTTTCCAACAGTTAATCTAATACTGCTGCCAGTTTCAAAATAAGGTGGCTGGCCAAGGGACCATCTGCTGTAATAAAATAAAGCTCCGCTTTAACAGTGGGGTTCCATAAATAAAGCCACGTAAAGTCCCTTAACTGGATCAGTGATTAAATTTTATTGATCTCAGATTGCTGGAAAGTCCGTGCCAAATGAACCACTTTATTCGCAGCCATGTGGAGTAGCAGTCACGGCAATGTGCGCTCAATAAATATGGCTCAGGCAGACATTTCCTGCAAAACTCATTTGGTGAAACATACGCTACACACTGCACATGAAAATAGAACTAGCAATTAGCAGCAGCAGCAGCAACAACAGTATCCGCCAGAGCCCCCCGCCCAATAGCAATACAATGTGTTGCCGCTTTTAATTTTGATCATATCCACATTTTACGCGTGAAACGTTGCATGTTTCAAGTACAGAGGCAGACGCAAACAGAACAAAATTAATTAGGTCTTCGGGGGGCTTGAGGCGCCTTTAAAGTTCTCTGACGCAAAAAGGGCCACCGCGCTGCTGTACGTTCTCAAAGTGTGCGTCAAAAAGATTGTGTGCGTTTCGTGGTTCCTGAGATAGATGCGCGCACGCAAACCGCAGCTGTGTCCCGCCGCCGCCTCCGCCACACACACACACACAACCATTCCTTGAGGATCTGCGGGGCGGCGCAGCTGGGATCAAATACATTACATGGAGAACGACCCACCCTAGCCCCGGCTTTCTAGAGATGATGTGAGGAGAGCTTTCGCTGGCAGAGGTAAAAAAAAAAACTGCGCTAAAATCGATATTAAAAAGCGCGCATCGGGGCCTTCCCACGGCTCATTGGAAATGATTTGTTCGGCAAGAAACAAAATTGATGGCACGTCCCTACTGACCTAAACGTTATGGATTCCGGTGGCGGAACATCAGACGCACGCGCGCGCACAGCCACACAAAGCGCCGTGTTGTCGCATGTATCACGATAATTGGAAACGAACTGCGAGGAACGATGGATCGGCGTCAGCTGTGAAGACGGACAAGGCGGCGAGCGGCGAGCGGCGCGCGTGCAAATAGCGGCGCGTTGCTTCAAACTTTAGCGATATGCGTAATGAGATGCGGTGCGCACTTTGTACGCATTTCCAGTGCGAAGCGGTGCTCGCATCGGATTTGACGGGGGGTGGAGTTGGGGGTGGGGGGGGGCGCTCTCTCGCCTATGCGCAATGGGCTGTTAAAAAAAAAAAATAACATCATAGGGCGCATGTGTTCTGAAACATAGATTATACTTGTAATGATCCAATAATAAGCAACGGCAACACACACGAAAAAAAAACTTTCGCTCTACGCGTGCACCGGCGTCTCCCTCGAGTTGCGTGTCTTGAATTTTCGCACGTTCAGCTTCAATTATAACGGCGGTGTGAATAGCGCATAAAAATAAATGCATTGCAGGCAGCGTGGCGAGCGAGCCACTACGTAATTAAGCGGTGCGAGCGGTTGCAGAGTGCAGTGGTTTCAAGCGCCCGGCCGGACACCCAACGGGAGCGTGGCTATTATATTCGATAATAATTCGACAATAAAAATAATAATAATACTAGCGATGTTGTGCGCTTATTTACAACGGAACTGGGGGAGAGAGAGAGAAAAACACCCCCGCAACACCCCCCCCCCCCCCCCCCCCCCCCCATTTAAAACAAACTGCAACTCAGACGCTCCAAAGGTCGGTTCAAGACGATGTAATGGGAGGCAATTAAATCCCATCAAACGCTCTATCAACTTTAGCAGCGAATTCAACGTGACGAGCACACGTGCATGCTTCACAGCTGGGGATTTCCACCGCGTCCGCCCCTCTTCCAAAAGTATCACCGAAACACATTTCACTGCCTCGACGCCCGCGTTCGCTCGCTCGCAATGTGCAACCTTTAAGTGCGTTCGTTAGACTCGGCGAGACTCTGATAAGAGAAAAGTACTCACGGTGGCAAGCACTGGAACGATACGCGCGTATCGCCAATTGCCACGTCGAATGACCTCCTTTGTGTAAAGTACTCGCTTCACGTATACAACAAAAATCAACTGGTTCATGTGCGTTAAAACTGCGGACCAGCTGTGGTGCCAACCGACTGGAGCGCTTCACAAACAGCGCCCTTCACGCGCTGCGCACGCAAGGAAACCCACGGATCCATCTTCGCCGTTTACGCACGAGGTTTTTGTTTTGTTTTGTTACATCAGTTGGATTAGCAGCAGCTACAAACAACAACAAAAAGTAACAACGAGTGGTGGTGGCTTGCATGCGAACCCACCGGTTAGGACTGGGCAGAGAAGGAGGACGCTGACGAGCCACATGCCATACGCTGCTCGGGCTGGGAGCGCGCGTGTTGATGTCTCTCTCCGCTCCTGGTCTCCTCCGTGCGGTGCGCTCGCGTACGCTGCCTGAACGCGCGCGCGAACTCCTGCGCGTGTGTGTGTGTGTGAGAGCGCGCCTCCGTGTGTGTGTGTAACTGTGTGTGCCAAGGCAGGACCCCACGGGGCGACGGTAATGGCAACTACGTCACTCGTGTTTAGTAGTAATAATAACACATTTGAGAGCGCGCTACATACGTACACTCTCACGCGCTCGTGAGTAACCGCGTGCGTGCGTGCTAGAAGTGCGTGAGTGCGCTGAGTTGCGTCTATACTGCTACCATGTACACCTCTGCTCGAGCGCTGCGTCAAGATGATGATGCTGCTGCTGCTGTTGCTGCTGCTGATGACAACCAGCATGTATTCGGGGAGTGACCTGTGCCGGCTACGAGGATTAGTTGGGTGGGAGGTGCGAGGAGGGGGTGGGGGGATTCGTGTTTATGGGACAGGGGAGAGAGGGGGGTTGGAGTATAAGAGGAAGAAGCACAGTATAAGAAATGGAGATGAGCCGTGTTGGGAGGTGATGGATGTCTTGGGGTAGTGTGGTGAATTTGTCGGGAATTGTCGGGGTAGTGTGCGGGAGACGTGTCTGGGTAGTGTAGGGGTCGTGTCTGGGTAGTGTGGTGAATTTGTCGGGAATTGTCGGGGTAGTGTGTAGGGGTCGTGTCTTGGGGTAGTGTGGTGAATTTGTCGGGAATTGTCGGGGTAGTGTGCGGGAGACGTGTCTGGGTAGTGTAGGGGTCGTGTCTGGGTAGTGTGGTGAATTTGTCGGGAATTGTCGGGGTAGTGTGTAGGGGTCGTGTCTGGGTAGTGTGGGAGACGTGTCGGGGTAGTGTGGGAGACGTGTCTGGGTAGTGTGGGAGACGTGTCGGGGTAGTGTGGGAGACGTGTCTGGGTAGTGTAGGGGTCGTGTCTGGGTAGTGTGGGAGACGTGTCGGGGTAGTGTGGGAGACGTGTCTGGGTAGTGTGGGAGACGTGTCGGGGTAATGTGGGAGACGTGTCTGGGTAGTGTGGGGGACGTGTCTGGGTAGTGTGGGGGACGTGTCTGGGTAGTGTGGGAGACGTGTCTGGGTAGTGTGGGAGACGTGTCGGGGTAGAGTGGGAGACGTGTCTGGGTAGTGTAGGGGTCGTGTCTGGGTAGAGTGGGAGACGTGTCTGGGTAGTGTGGGGGTCGTGTCTGGGTAGTGTGGGAGACGTGTCGGGGTAGTGCGGGGGTCGTGTCGGGGTAGTGTGGGAGACGTGTCGGGGTAGAGTGGGAGACGTGTCTGGGTAGTTTAGGGGTCGTGTCTGGGTAGTGTGGGAGACGTGTCGGGATAGTGTGGGAGACGTGTCTGGGTAGTGTGGGAGACGTGTCGGGGTAGTGTGGGAGACGTGTCTGGGTAGTGTGGGGGACGTGTCTGGGTAGTGTGGAAGACGTGTCTGGGTAGTGTGGGAGACGTGTCGGGGTAGTGTGGGAGACGTGTCTGGGTAGTGTGGGGGACGTGTCTGGGTAGTGTGGGGGACGTGTCTGGGTAGTGTGGGAGACGTGTCTGGGTAGTGTGGGAGACGTGTCTGGGTAGAGTGGGAGACGTGTCTGGGTAGTGTGGGGGTCGTGTCTGGGTAGTGTGGGATACGTGTCGGGGTAGTGCGGGAGTCGTGTCGGGGTAGTGTGGGAGACGTGTCTGGGTAGTGTGGGAGACGTGTCTGGGTAGAGTGGGAGACGTGTCTGGGTAGTGTGGGAGACGTGTCGGGGTAGTGTGTGGGTCGTGTCTGGGTAGTGTGGGAGACGTGTCTGGGTAGTGTGGGGGTCGTGTCGGGGTAGTGTGGGGGTCGTGTCTGGGTAGTGTGGGAGACGTGTTTGGGTAGTGTGGGAGACGTGTCTGGGTAGTGTAGGGGTCGTGTCTGGGTAGTGTGGGAGACGTGTCTGGGTAGTGTGGGAGACGTGTCTGGGTAGTGTGGGGGTCGTGTCTGGGTAGGGTGGGGGACGTGTCGGGGTAGTGTGGGGGACGTGTCTGGGTAGTGTGGGAGACGTGTCTGGGTAGTGTGGGAGACGTGTCGGGGTAGTGTGGGGGACGTGTCTGGGTAGTGTGGGAGACGTGTCGGGGTAGTGTGGGGGACGTGTCTGGGTAGTGTGGAAGACGTGTCTGGGTAGTGTGGGAGACGTGTCTGGGTAGTGTGGGAGACGTGTCTGGGTAGTGTGGGGGTCGTGTCTGGGTAGAGTGGGGGACGTGTCTGGGTAGTGTGGGAGACGTGTCTGGGTAGTGTGGGAGACGTGTCGGGGTAGTGTAGCGGTCGTGTCTGGGTAGTGTGGGAGACGTGTCTGGGTAGTGTGGGGGACGTGTCTGGGTAGTGTGGGAGACGTGTCTGGGTAGTGTGGGAGACGTGTCTGGGTAGAGTGGGAGACGTGTCTGGGTAGTGTGGGGGTCGTGTCTGGGTAGTGTGGGATACGTGTCGGGGTAGTGCGGGGGTCGTGTCGGGGTAGTGTGGGAGACGTGTCTGGGTAGTGTGGGAGACGTGTCTGGGTAGAGTGGAGGTCGTGTCTGGGTAGAGTGGGGGACGTGTCTGGGTAGTGTGGGAGACGTGTCTGGGTAGTGTGGGAGACGTGTCGGGGTAGTGTAGGGGTCGTGTCTGGGTAGTGTGGGAGACGTGTCTGGGTAGTGTGGGGGACGTGTCTGGGTAGTGTGGGAGACGTGTCTGGGTAGTGTGGGAGACGTGTCTGGGTAGAGTGGGAGACGTGTCTGGGTAGTGTGGGGGTCGTGTCTGGGTAGTGTGGGATACGTGTCGGGGTAGTGCGGGGGTCGTGTCGGGGTAGTGTGGGAGACGTGTCTGGGTAGTGTGGGAGACGTGTCTGGGTAGAGTGGGAGACGTGTCTGGGTAGTGTGGGAGACGTGTCGGGGTAGTGTGTGGGTCGTGTCTGGGTAGAGTGGGAGACGTGTCTGGGTAGTGTGGGAGACGTGTCTGGGTAGAGTGGGAGACGTGTCTGGGTAGTGTGGGAGACGTGTCTGGGTAGTGTGGGGGTCGTGTCGGGGTAGTGTCGGGGTCGTGTCGGGGTAGTGTGGGGGACGTGTCTGGGTAGTGTGGGAGACGTGTCTGGGTAGTGTGGGAGACGTGTCGGGGTAGTGTGGGGGACGTGTCTGGGTAGTGTGGGAGACGTGTCGGGGTAGTGTGGGGGACGTGTCTGGGTAGTGTGGGAGATGTGTCTGGTTAGTGTGGGAGACGTGTCGGGGTAGTGTAGGGGTCGTGTCTGGGTAGTGTGGGAGACGTGTCTGGGTAGTGTGGGAGACGTGTCTGGGTAGTGTGGGAGACGTGTCGGGGTAGTGTGGGGGACGTGTCTGGGTAGTGTGGGAGACGTGTCTGGGTAGTGTGGGGGTCGTGTCTGGGTAGTGTGGGAGACGTGTCGGGGTAGTGTGAGGCACGTGTCGGGGTAGTGTGGGGGTCGTGTCTGGGTAGTGTGGGGGTCGTGTCTGGGTAGTGTGGGAGACGTGTCTGGGTAGTGTGGGAGACGTGTCTGGGTAGTGTGGAGACGTGTCTGGGTAGTGTGGAGACGTGTCTGGGTAGTGTGGGGGACGTGTCTGGGTAGTGTGGGAGACGTGTCTGGGTAGTGTGGGAGACGTGTCTGGGTAGTGTGGGAGACGTGTCGGGTAGTGTGGGGCACGTGTCGGGGAAGTGTGGGAGACGTGTCGGGGTAGTGTGGGGCACGTGTCGGGGTAGTGTGTGGGTCGTGTCTGTGTAGTGTGGGAGACGTGTCTGGGTAGTTTGGGAGACGTGTCTGGGTAGTGTGGGGGACGTGTCTGGGTAGTGTGGGAGACGTGTCTGGGTAGTGTGGGAGACGTGTCTGGGTAGTGTGGGGGACGTGTCTGGGTAGTGTGGAAGACGTGTCTGGGTAGTGTGGGAGACGTGTCTGGGTAGTGTGGGAGACGTGTCTGGGTAGAGTGGGAGACGTGTCTGGGTAGTGTGGGAGACGTGTCTGGGTAGTGTGGGGGTCGTGTCGGGGTAGGGTGGGGGTCGTGTCGGGGTAGTGTGGGGGACGTGTCTGGGTAGAGTGGGAGACGTGTCTGGGTAGTGTGGGAGACGTGTCTGGGTAGTGTAGGGGTCGTGTCTGGGTAGTGTGGGAGACGTGTCTGGGTAGTGTGGGAGACGTGTCTGGGTAGTGTGGGGGTCGTGTCTGGGTAGAGTGGGGGACGTGTCTGGGTAGTGTGGGAGACGTGTCGGGGTAGTGTGGGGGACGTGTCTGGGTAGTGTGGGAGACGTGTCGGGGTAGTGTGGGGGACGTGTCTGGGTAGTGTGGGAGACGTGTCTGGGTAGTGTGGGAGATGTGTCTGGGTAGTGTGGGAGACGTGTCGGGGTAGTGTAGGGGTCGTGTCTGGGTAGTGTGGGAGACGTGTCTGGGTAGTGTGGGAGACGTGTCTGGGTAGTGTGGGAGACGTGTCGGGGTAGTGTGGGGGATGTGTCTGGGTAGTGTGGGAGACGTGTCTGGGTAGTGTGGGGGTCGTGTCTGGGTAGTGTGGGAGACGTGTCGGGGTTTTGTGGGGCACGTGTCGGGGTAGTGTGGGAGACGTGTCTGGGTAGTGTGGGGGTCGTGTCTGGGTAGTGTGGGGGTCGTGTCTGGGTAGTGTGGGGGTCGTGTCTGGGTAGTGTGGGAGACGTGTCTGGCTAGTGTGGGAGACGTGTCTGGGTAGTGTGGAGACGTGTCTGGGTAGTGTGGAGACGTGTCTGGGTAGTGTGGGGGACGTGTCTGGGTAGTGTGGGAGACGTGTCTGGGTAGTGTGGGAGACGTGTCTGGGTAGTGTGGGAGACGTGTCGGGGTAGTGTGGGGCACGTGTCGGGGAAGTGTGGGAGACGTGTCGGGGTAGTGTGGGGCACGTGTTGGGGTAGTGTGTGGGTCGTGTCTGGGTAGTGTGGGGGTCGTGTCGGGGTAGTGTGTGGGTCGTGTCGGAGTAGTGTGGGGCACGTGTCGGAGTAGTGTGGGAGACGTGTCGGGGTAGTGTAGGGGTCGTGTCGGGGTAGTGTGGGAGGCGTGTCGGGGTAGTGTGGGGGACGTGTCGGGGTAGTGTGGGGGTCGTGTCGGGGTAGTGTGGGGGTCGTGTCGGGGTAGTGTGGGGGTCGTGTCGGGGTAGTGTGGTGGTGGGGGGTGTTTGGGTGCTGCGGTGGTAACACGCGTGGCCTCATGCGCGGGCACAGCGTCCCCACGCCCACACCGAGGCACGTGCCTGGGATTTTGGATGCTAAAAAGTGTCAAGCGCAGCAGCATCCCTCCCCAACCTTTCTTCAACACCTCTCTCTCTCATACCCCGAACCCCCCTCCTCCCACGACACGGGGCGCCGTTACAACCGCCTACACCACCACCACCGCCGCCACTTCTAGAAGGCACTTCCATCCACCACCAGCACACGACCCAGCAACAACACTTGGC